AGGCTAGATGAGAGTGTCTCAGGCAGGTATTCAGGCAAGTATTAAGCATGCTTTCGGACAGCTTTCCTAGCAGGAGGGAAAAGACAGGTGAAAGAGTACAGAAGAGACAGAACTTGATGCTACATCATACACAGAACAACAATAGGGCAACAAGTGGAAGTGAAAGCCAGTTTTAAGTACTGCCACCGATCGTGGGTGGAAAACAGGTGCACCAGCTGGAGACTTCCTGAGACCACGTCCACCACTGGAAGACAGTGGTTAGCAGTGTTGGGTAAGTTACTTTAAAATAGTAACTTAGTTACATTACTAGTTACTTCTCCCAAAAGTAACTCAGTTACTTCAAGTTACTCGTTACTTTCAAAGTAACTAGTTACTAGGGAAAGTAACTTTGGTTTTACTCAGAATTCTCTTGTTAATGTGTTTCTTCCATAACCTTGCCAGGCTTCTAGCTTGCTTACTTGCCACAGTGCACTGTGCCACCTACCAATAGAAAGGAAAAGATAATGTGCATATTTCTGTTACGTAAGGCCCAAAATGGCCTCCGTACAAGGAAGTAGTAGCTCTAATATTGACCAGTAACGAACCACCACACGCACACTGTAATGGGTTACACAAGATTTATTTGTTCTTTCTCCGGGTAAAACTACTGGCTGAAGACAACTCTGGCCAGGAATCCAAGGCCCAAAGCCACCGCGGTCAGGGTTGTTAGCCTGGTTACAAACAGGGGAAAGGTGGTCACTTGGAAGAACAAGCAGCCAAAACATATCAATCCTGCAGCTTCCTCAAAAAGGCTTGCCACCCACCTTTTCAGGCCTGACTTCGTTCGAGGCTGGGTCTCCACATCACATCCTGGGAGCTGGAACTTCCCCAAAACTGGTCCAGTTTCCTTGTCAGGGGCACAGAGAGTCTCCAGTCCAGTGTTTGTTTTCCTGCCTTCCAGCACATCCACTCACATCCCAATAAGAATGAGTCCTCCCTCCAACATCCTCAGTTTATTTTAAAAGCAAAACCAGGCCAGGTTAAAAATCTTTTCCATTAAAATGTGCACACTTCATCCTGGATCTTCGAGGCTTCCCTGCTTCACCAGTGTCCTACTAAAAAAACAACGACAACCCCTACTTCCTGTTTCCTCTCCCCTTTATAGAGAAGGCCTCCAATCCTCCCCAATCAGCTGCTCCCTGTATTCAACTCCAAATAGCTGGCAGCTGGACTAGAGTAGAATCTCCACTCCCACATGGGTGTGGCCCACACCTCACATCAAACACAAAAAAACACCAAAGCATGCAATTAATACAAAACAAAATCTAAAGAAATGCCAACCCAAAAGCTTAGTGAGGGATTCTCTCCATCCCCCGATGGTGTCCTTCCTTGGGCCATATAATGTCTCACTCTATACAACGTTGGGTCCTGCTCCTGTAAGCTTTTCCAGTGTCCTGGATCCCAATCAATGTTCACAGCCTGAACCCGTGCTCCTTCACCCATCCTCTGTGGGGACACCAGATCTTGGGGTTGCACCTGTAATGGCATTCTAGACAGAACATCAGCATTCACATTTTCCTGGCCGGGCCGGTACTTGATATCAAATTGATAATTTGCAAGTTGTGCTACCCACCGTTGCTCCACTGCGCCCACTTTTGCAGTCGATAAATGGACCAATGGATTATTGTCAGTATAAACTGTAAACAGAGACCCCCATAGATAGTCTTTAAATTTCTCAGTCACCGCCCATTTCAGAGCGAGCAGCTCCAATTTAAAGGAGCTATAGTTTGCATCATCTCTTTCTGTGGGTGCTAAGCTTCTGCTAGCATAGGCTATCACACATTCTTTCCCATCTTGTACTTGAGAAAGTACTGCACCAAGGCCCACTTTACTGGCATCCGTGTAGAGCCGAAAGGGTAATCTGAAATCAGCAAAAGCTAAAATAGGCGCCTCTAGCAGTTTCTGCTTCAGAAGATCAAAGGACTGTTGACAATTCTCATCCCAGTTTATGGGAATATTCTGTTTTTTATTCTTAGGTACTCCCACCAGCAATGAGTTAAGAGGCCTAGCAACACTTGCAAATCCTGCAATGAACCGCCGATAGTAACCGGCAAAGCCCAAAAAGGAACGCACCTGATGAATAGTCTGCGGGGCCGGCCACTTCTGTACAGCGGCAATCTTATCAGGGTCGGGAGCCACACCCTCACTGTTCACCAGGTGACCCAGGAACTTCACCTGCTGCTGGAAAAGAACACATTTATCAGGTCGCAACTTCAGCCCATAGCCCTTCAATCTTGTAAACACTGCCTGCAGATGCTCTAGATGGCTGTTGAAATCCGGTGAGTATACTATCACATCATCCAGATATACAAAAGCAGACTCTGTGATTTGACTTCCCAAGCAACTTTGCATCAACCTTTGGAATGTTGCTGGGGCATTACACAAACCAAAAGGCATTCTTTCAAATTCATACAAGCCAAAAGGAGTACAAAATGCAGTCTTTTCTCTGTCAGCTTCAGAAACTTTCACTTGCCAATACCCACTTGCTAGATCAAGAGTGGAGTAGTATTTTGATTTAGTCAGCATCGTCAAGGTCTCTTCAATTCTAGGTAGTGGATGGGGATCTTTATGTGTCACTGCATTTAACTTGCGGTAATCCACACAAAATCTCAATTCCCCATTTTTTTTCCGTACCAGGACAATGGGTGCTGCCCAGGGACTTGTACTCTCTCTCACCACCCCTGATCGAATCATATTATTCAGCAACTCTCGCACTTCCTGATACATTTTAGGGGGAATTGGCCTGTACCGCTCTCTAATGGGAGGTGCCATACCTGTCGGAATAGAGTGCGTAATTACATCTGTGTGGCCATAATCCTCTTCGTCGGCAGCAAACACATCGCCCCATTCCCTCAAGAGACCATTTAACTTTTCTTGCTCCTCTATGGATAGGTTTGACTTCCCTTGTGTCATAACTTCAATATGAGGAGCTTTACCAGGTGGTTCCGAGCTCACCTGGTGTACACCAACTTCAACAATACCTGGCCTGGTTTGCTCAAAAGTAACTTCAAAAGGCTCCTGAATGTCAACATTTTCCGTGGAGAATGTAGCAAGGGCCTCGTAACGTCGTAACGTGATAGGAAAAGGGTTGAGGTTCCTTACTTTGAGGGGGACTCGGCCTCTACGGACAATTCCTAGGGATCGAGCAACAGCAACTGTACTAGGCCCTTCCAGTGGCTCCACCAAAATACATTGTCCTTTCCTCAGTGTCTGTGGGGCCCTGGCCCAAATCACCTGCTCGCTGTGCTCAGGGACCATCACCGGATGGCGATAAGCTGGTCGAAGGGTCCCTACCTGTTGTACAGGGGCAGCTGCCTGAATTCTCTGACAGTCCTGAAAAGCGGATGCCCACGCTTGTTGAGTGTCTACAGTTGAGCCAACAGGCCAGGTCTGGGTCTGTATCTGAGGTTTCGAGAAAAGCATATCCCAGCATGGAATGATGATATTCATACCTAAGATAGGTAATGCATTAGGATTATTGGGATCGTCCTTTGAAATCACAATTCCCATATCCTTCAAAGTAATGCCTCCCACCTGTACTTCAGCTAGCACATAGCCCACATAAGGAATAGCCAATCCATTCGCTGCCTTCAGCTTTAACCAATTGAGATCGCTTTCTTTTCCTGGCTCCTGCTCACCAAACAATCTCCTAAAACAGGCTTGTGACATTAATGTTACATTAGACCCAGTATCTAGCAAAAATGTCACTTCCTTACCATCAACGAATACCTCTACTTGACGGCATGTCCCTAGAAATTGAGAGTGATTTAACTGGGCTGGACCACTGTCATCCTTTCCAGTCACCTGGCCCATAGTGACTGGATTTACTCGTTTAAAGCCATCTGAGATGGAGTGCCCCGACACTCTCTTGCCATGTGTCCACTGGCTCCACACTTACTACAGATGGGCTGCCCTTGTTCATCCCACTTATGCCGTGGTCGTTCCACCAACCGTGAGATTTGCTTTGTCGCTGGGGGTGGCTCAGACACTTCAGCACATCTCCTATACTGAGAGGAACTAAAGTTCCGCCTTTCTCTCTCACCTCTGGGAGCTGAACATGTCTGTGGCATTGGTGCTGGTCGAACAAATTCCCTCAGCTCCTCCTGAAGAGTATTCTTGAGATCCATAATTTGCTCCTTCATTTCTGCGAGAATCTCCACTTTAAATTGATCTTTCCAATTCAAGGTATCCTGCCACTTTAGATCCCCTTTCACTACGGCACAAGCGGAGTCTTCATATAAACTATGCAGCGCATCTGCTTCCAATTGCAAAGCCTCTTTACGCACCTGTTCAAATGAGAGATTAGGGTCATGCCTTAACAGACGCCGTAGATCGCGCTGTATCTCACCCTCCCTGAGGCCCAAGACAAACTGATCACGCATGTGCAGGTCGGCACGCCGAGGGTCTTGTGGCTCTTTTGTTTGCAGGCGATGGCCTAGCTCCCTTAAACGTAAAGTGAACTTTCTAATAGGCTCTTCTGCCCTTTGTCTGCACTCATAAAACATGGCACGCAAGGTACCCACAGCTGTTTTATCCCCATACAGTTCTTTAAGTTGAAGAAAGATCTTATCTGGCGTATCCCGCTCCACTTGCTCCAAAATAAGAATTTCACGTCGTGGTTCTCCTCCTAATGCACTCAGTACAAAATCACACTGCTGTTCTATCGACCATTTTTGAGCACGGAGCATTGCACTAATTTGGCTCTCCCAATCTTCATAATTCGTGTTAAGCCCACAAAATTTTGGTACCCAGGGCGCACCAATAAAGAATGGTGACACCATATTAATGGTTTCAGATAGCTCATCCGCCATATTAATCAGTCTAAGGCAGGTGGGTTTGTATACTGGTCACAAATCCTGTCGACAAACGCCAAATGTTACGTAAGGCCCAAAATGGCCTCCGTACAAGGAAGTAGTAGCTCTAATATTGACCAGTAACGAACCACCACACGCACACTGTAATGGGTTACACAAGATTTATTTGTTCTTTCTCCGGGTAAAACTACTGGCTGAAGACACAACTCTGGCCAGGAATCCAAGGCCCAAAGCCACCGCGGTCAGGGTTGTTAGCCTGGTTACAAACAGGGGAAAGGTGGTCACTTGGAAGAACAAGCAGCCAAAACGTATCAATCCTGCAGCTTCCTCAAAAAGGCTTGCCACCCACCTTTTCAGGCCTGACTTCGTTCGAGGCTGGGTCTCCACATCACATCCTGGGAGCTGGAACTTCCCCAAAACTGGTCCAGTTTCCTTGTCAGGGGCACAGAGAGTCTCCAGTCCAGTGTTTGTTTTCCTGCCTTCCAGCACATCCACTCACATCCCAATAAGAATGAGTCCTCCCTCCAACATCCTCAGTTTATTTTAAAAGCAAAACCAGGCCAGGTTAAAAATCTTTTCCATTAAAATGTGCACACTTCATCCTGGATCTTCGAGGCTTCCCTGCTTCACCAGTGTCCTACTAAAAAAACAACGACATTTCCACGAGAGAAATCCCACACCTGGACCATCGTTGACTACTGCCATGATTCTAGCCTACGTCACAGCGTCATGTGCGCCTTTTACATCCAACACAAAAACTGCAGTCGTGGTGCTTTGATTTTACTCAGAACTCAGAAATTCTGCCTTCTGAATAGGAAGATGTAGGTAACACCAGACTGCAGATGAGCTGCATACAGGGCTGGACTGGGACAGAAAATTGGCCCGGGCATTTTGACTAGGAAAAATCTTAAAGCCTTTGAATGAAAACAAACGCTGTTGTGACAGTGATGTACACTGTTCTGATGGTATATATGCATCAATCTATCAATCGTTTGTTGTAAGATTCAGATAATTATTTTTTAAAAGCGAGACATTTTAAATGAGAATAAGAAAGAAAAGTATTTCTTTGTGCCCCCCTTTCCCTGTTAATGCCCTACATGCCCCCCTGGCCACACTTTGCTAGATCCGCACCTGCACAGTTACCAGCTGTCAGCTACCTAAAAAAGGATCCTGGTGTTATTTGTCTCTCAGAAACGGTTCATAACTTCCCTTCAACTCATTCACGTCACCTAAAAGGTAAACCTGTTTCTCCATCACCTGTTCAGCTCTGATGATCCAGTAAGGACATCTCCTGGTTTCATCTTCATGTTTCCCTCTCACCACATATCCAAACCATATCATGACCAGCAGGTTTTTTGCAGCTGTGGCTCCAGCAAACATCAGCTGATACTAGAAATTAATATTAAATTCTAACAACAGCTGATCAAGCTTAAACGTGCTGCTGTTGTTTAGCGCGACATCCGCTGGTTTCCTCTTTTGGCGCAAAGTGGGCGATAAATAAACAAGAGAGCCGGGAGAAGTAGAAACAGGAGAGGGAGGGGGGAGAATGAAAGAAGAAGAGGCAGCTGTGCAGCAAAGACACAGAATAACTCCAGCTTTGTGCCTTTTTCATTGTAGCTGAATTACGGGACAAACTGTTCCTTTTCACCTCAATAAGAAACGCGTAATATTTTCTCTGAATACCAGACGGGACGGTTGGCAACTCTAATAACTTATGAACAAAATAAAGTTCCATCCATCCATCCATTCGCTACCGCTTATCCTTTTTCAGGGTCGCGGGGGGCGCTGGAGCCAATCCCAGCTGTCATAGGGCGAGAGGCGGGGTACACCCTGGACAGGTCGCCAGTCTGTCGCAGGGCTAACACACAAGGACAGACAGCCATTCGCACTCACATTCACACCTAGTGGCAATTTGGATTATCCAATTAACCTATCCCCACAAACTGCATGTCTTTGGACGGTGGGAGGAAGCCGGAGTACCCGGAGGGAACCCACGCAGACACGAGGAGAACATGCAAACTCCACACAGAAAGACCCCGGCCTGATGGTGGAATTGAACTCAGGACCTTCTTGCTGTGTGGCAACAGTGCTAACCACCGTGCCACCGTGCTGCCAAAATAAAGTTCAACATCATTAACTTCATAGCACCACCCAGCTGTATAGAAACTCCGTCATGCTAGCTAGCACGCAGTACGGAAAAAGTCAGAATAACGAAAATAAACTCCACCTAAACTTGGTTCATATCTGACCCAGAGAGACTGCAGGTCATAACTTCTTACCTGAAGTTCAGTTCACACTTGGACCGGCGGCCGCCTCGGGTCTCTTTTCCTTCTGCGTCCCTTTTCCTTCATCCACCTGCTGGCCTCCACCACTTGCTAATGTTACTGAATCTGTGGAAGCTCCGCAATAGCCACCACACGAAGTAACGAGTAACGACCCTATCTAAATCCCAGTAACGACTAACGCGTTCCTGATTTTGGCATAATAACTAGTTACCGTGCTCGTTACCACAATAATAACGTAGTTACTGTAACGCGTTACTTAATAACGCGTTAGTCCCAACACTGGTGGTTAGTAACACCCACACCAACATTCACACTGATAGAAGAAAGAGAGAAGACAGATCTGCACCTGGAGGACAAGTGGGGGGCAGGGACATGATAATGACGGCATATTCATCCCTGCGAACCAAATGATTCAGTTTCAGAGTACTCTAAATGCTCCTTTTTGCACTGTATGACCTGTATGATGACTGATGACCAAACCAAACCTTCTGCTTGTGAGGAGTGTCCATGTAGAATAAGTCAATCAAGGTAAAATAGCTAGTTTCAGACAGACAAGGCCCAGTGTCAGAGAAATGAGGGTTATTTTGAAGTGTGAGTTATGTAGTGCTACTCTACAGAATCCAAGACAGAAGTACGGAGCTGGAAATGAGCACAAAGATCCACTTTATGGATAGCCTCCTGCAAAAGTCAGATTTAGGTCCAACTGTGCACTGCACCTGAAAGCACAAAGAGACTGGAGGATTGTGATTGGAAGTTTATATACAGGTTACTGGTAAAGTAACTAAGTGTTAAATCCACCGTATGACCGGTCGATTTTTAATCAGGCACAGAGGGAGAATTAACCAAAATGGGCTTTTTTTTGCCTCTTTATTCTCGTGGATAAAAGTGACACATTAATATTGTCAAAATCTCTTTCTGACACCAAACATGTAAATTAAATAAATAATTCTGAATGACTATCTGCAAATAAATGTTGAATTAGGGCTGCAAGACTTGCCATCCATAATGACTGGCCCACAAAAGGGTTCACGCTGGGCTTTCAGTCAGTCTCGCAATTTCTTGTCACACCTCGCCAATGCCTTTTGTGCTCATTTAAAAATATGCTGCTCGTTCCTCTGCAGCTCTGCAGACACCATCTCTGCTCTGCTTGAGGGGCTGCTGGGCTCTGGAGTCCAGTCAACGCTGCTGACCCCAAGTTGTAAGGACACTGAAGCTGCTATAATAGATTATTCACACATTGAATATTCTCTTTCCAGTCTTAATAATTTGTTGTGATATCAAGACTGTTTATGGTAATGGTGGAAATATTTCTCATGGAGAAATAATCTTTAAGGAGATGCAGATGTGAAGTGTAAACTTTTGATGGAAATACTTGATATCATGGAGAAGAGAGATGATCATACATATGATCATCATATTCTGAAATGCATCCTTCCACAGGGTTTTCTTTCCATATAGAAGGAAAAATAATTAATCCAATGATGAATTTGCGAATTTGCTCACTTACCAAGAAATGAAGTCTCTAATTTAATGGTATTTTCATTTTGATGGAGAGGGACAGAATAGAAACCACATTTTCAGAAAAACACTTTATGTAAAAGTTATAAACTGATTTGCAAGCCACTGAGCAAACTAAGTTTTCCATCTCTAAATAAAATATGACTTAGTAGTTGGTGGAAAAACTCTTATTGGTGAGCACAGCTGTAAGATGTTTCTTGTATTTGGTCTCCAGGTTTGCACAAATCTCAGGAGGGATTTGGCCCACTCTTCTGTACAGAAACTCCCTAAATCCTTTAATCTGTGACGGTTCTCAGTCATCCAGGTCATCGTAGTCTAAGGAGCTTGGAAAGAGAAGCATCTGGACTTCTTTAGGTTCCTAGAAGATCTTTCACCTCTCATCTGAGAAGCTTCTTCAGTTCTAAGAGCAACTGGTGAAGAGTCACAGATTAAGCCCTATGGGAGTGTCCCCAACAGGGTCATGGACCACACCAAGCCACACCTTCACACCTTAAGTAGAGGTGATTAGGTAGAGGATCAATAGGGGGTCCATGACCCTCCTGGGGACACTCCCATAGGACTTAATCTGTGACTCTTCACCAGTTGCTCTTAGAACTGAAGAAGCTTCTCAGATGAGAGGTGAAACATCTTGAAGAAACCTAAAGAAATCCAGACGCTTGTCTTTCCAAGCTAAATCCTTTCTTACCTGCCCCGTGGCAGCTTGAACCATCAGCTCCCTCCACAGACTTTGTATAAGTCTGAGTCTGTCTAGGCCACTACATGAACATAATGTGCTTCTTCTTTAGCCGCTCCTTTATTGCCTTGGTGGTATGTTTTTGGTTGTCGTCATGCTGATAGACCCACCCATGACACATCTTCAGTGTTCTGGCTGACAGAAGGAGGTTCTCTTCCAAGATTTTACAGTACACAGCTCCATCCATTGGGCCTCAATGTAGTGAAGTTGTCCTGCACCCTTATGAGATAAGATTTTGGTGAATGTGGTCCAAACTGCCTTCAGATCATTAACAAGCTCCTCCTGTGTAGTTCTAGATGATCCACCACCTTTCTCCTGATCATCCTCATCCCATGAGGCAAAATCTTGCACTGATGATCAATTTATATTTGTTCCATTTCCCAATGATCACACCGATGTCACCAAGGACTGTTCATTTCTTTGCAATTGAGCAAACATACAAATTCAGCAAGGAATCAGATAATTATTTCCCCCACTGTACTCTAAACTAGACAACAGTCAGCCAGGCTGTGCTCGAGGCTTCCACAGAGGTAAATCAGAAAACACCTAAGAGGCAATTACCTAACACTATCACTACCTCACCAAACAGAGGGACTCGTCGAGGAAATCCATCACGCTGAATGAGTCCTAAATGTGTCCCAGTTTTATAAAAGGTAAACGTCAGTATAATTGGATGTTTGTGATGAAGCGGCACTGACAGTTTGCAACACAACTGGAGGCAAAGATTAAGCACTGACGTATTTCTCCTGACTAACTCTACAGTGTCAACAATTTCACAGATAGATAACCATTAGTCATAAAAGCATTGAGACTCAGAAAGAAAACAAAAGGCAAACAGAAGTAGAACAGACAAAGTTTTTTTTCTTCTCTTTTTGATGCATGTTAAGACACTGTTTAACCAGTAAAGAGCTACACAAGTAATTTTCATATGAACAAGGTTGACTCTTTAAAAGCAAGGGCAACTGTTTAATATGTTACACCATGTAAAATTAAGAAAAAATGCTTTCTAAGTGACTACAAGGTGCAGTGGATTTTATGCACTTGATGCGATTGCTTCCCATTAAGTTCATGAGACATAAATTTGGGATTTTGTAACCTCGTTTCTTTT